GAAGGAGCCCATCACCCTGTATGTCCCATCATGGCTAGATGCATCCCTCAACCCTCATTGGCCAGGAAAGGCCCAGAAGGCATGGCTAACTGCAGGCACCTCTCCCAGTGCTGCCCAACAATTGGTACAGCTGGGACAAGGATCACCATTCCCTGGTGGGTCTAGGATGGCAGAGCCCTGGTGGGTCAAGGATAGTGAAGGTGGTCAATAATGGTCAAGGTAATCAAGGATGATCAGGGATGACCATTCATGAATGATGCTGGTCAAGAGCTAGAGGGAGACATTGCCCAAACTACCATCACCACTACTGCTATGGTGGGCACCAGGGCACAGAGTCACCCTTCCCAGCCTCTGCTGCTCCCTCCCAAAATCCTGAAGTGCCATAAATCCCATGGGAGCCCAGGTCCAGCCTGATGCCCATCCTCACCCCACTTGGCCTCCCACCCCATCATGCCCCATGGCTCCCACTCCAGCCCATGCCCCCAAAACCCATCTGGGAGGTGCACTTCCCAGCCTCCCCATCCCTTTACAGATGCGCCAAGCTCCTGCTGAGGCATGGGGCCACCGTTGACCTGCCCAGCGAGGACTGGGGGGAGACAGCACTGCACATGGCAGCCAGGCACTGCCTCTGTGACCATGCCCGTCTCTACCTGCGGCACGGGGCACGTGTCGACGCACGCAGCACACGGGAGGAGACAGCCCTCAGCATCCTCTGTGGGCAGGCACCGGGCACTGGCGAGAGCTGCCTGCAGTTTTGCCGGCTGCTGGCTGCCCACGGCGCAAACATCGATGCCCGGGATGAGACACGGAGAAGCCCCTTGCACAAGGCATGCGGGGCCGCCAATGCCAGCCTGGCATCCTTCCTCCTGCGGCGTGGGGCCGACGTCAACGCCATCGACTACAATGGCATCTCCCCGCTGGGCTGCGCGCTGCAGAGCGCTGCCTTCAAGAGGGAGCTGCGACCCCACCTCGCCGTCCAGCTGCTGCTCAACCATGGCTCCCAGAAGATATGGCCCCCTGCCTTTGTCAAGGTAATGACCCCAAAACAGCCCCTGCGCATCCCCTCACACCTAGGATTTTGCAACTGGGGTTGGGGTGCTTTGGGAAATAAAAACCTAGGGGGTTGGGAGGGTTTGGGAGAGCCTCTCAGTCTGGGCAGGGAGAGGGGACCATGGCATCAGGGTTGGTGATGCTGCTGGGAATGACGGAAATGAAAACACCTATGCGGGGTGGCAGTGGGGAAAACCAGGCAGGGCAAAGGGCAGGATGGAGCCAGCATGAGTGTGGGGGACCAGCACTTTTTCCTGCCTGGGGATGTCAGAGACAGGCTCGGTACATCAGCCATCAGTGCAGCTGCCTTATGGCTCTGCGTTTCATTGATTTTACATCAAACAATAAAGAAAATATTATCCTGGCTTATCACGCACAAGCCAAAAATTTAAATAAGAAGCAAGGGCTGCATCCAGAGGAAGAAGTGCCACAGCAAGGCAGGTCTTCCCACCACTTCACAGATGGAAAAAGATCTCCAAAGCATGCCACGACAAACCCTACACCTGCCTCATACCAATATGGGACCATCCCAGCCTGGACTGCTGTGGGGTGGGACAAACCTCAGCTGCAGCACACGGATGCTCTGCCCCTCTGGGACATGCATCTCTGTCTCAACCCCCTCTCTTGCCCGCAACTAGGTGCTGAAGTCCTGCGCAGCTGTGCCAGAGATCATTGAAGTCCTCTTCAATTCCTACTCACAAATCCACATCTCTGAGAAGTGGGCTGAGGCTGTGCCAGAGGAGGTGTTTCAGGTGAGATGGCACAGGCAGTTTGGCAGGAATGGCTGAGCCCTAAGGAGGGTGTTTTACCCACTGAGCCTTTTTTCCCCCATCCAGACTTCCCTTGGGGGGTTGACAGTGGGAGGGGGGTGAAGAGGAATAGTCTTCAGAGTGCCACCACACACCCAATTCATCTCAGCAGCTTTGCATCCCTTTAGCTCCATCAACATCAAACACCCCATTCCTGCCCCTGGCCCACGATCCCAGCATCTGGAAGCAACCCTGGAGCCAGAGCACTGCCCAGCAGGAGCCCACATCACTAATTTTGGTTTTAAAAACTAGTCCGCAGCTGTGCAACAGGTACAGCTGACCTGCTCTTGAACGATCTCAGAGGGCTGCCTTGCCCCCGCAGATCTTTGGTTAGCGTGGCTGCAGGGAGGACGGATGCCAAAATGCAAATAAAGCCTCTCCAGCACGTTCTAGGGGATGGGAGAAATTATTTTTATTCCCAGCTAGGGAAAGGCTGAGGCTGCACAGAGCGATTCTGCTTTGTTTCCCCATCTTAGAAACAAGCAGGTCTCTTCTACATCAGCTCTAAGGCTTTCTGCAGGGATGCTGCTGCCAATGGACATGAAAGCATCGTCCCCAGATGTGGTCTGCAGTGAGGCTGGGCTTCTTCACATGTGCTTCCACAGGAGAATTCCTCATCCAGCCTTTGCTAGCAGGAGCCGCGATTGCGCACGGATTCCTAACCCACAGACAAACATCACCAGTGGGTTTCTTACCTCCTCCCCTTAGATATTTATCTCAAAAGTATCTCTGGCTTGTTTCACTTAATCAGGAGAAAAATAAATAAACCCAACTGATGCTCATGGATTTTTTTTCTCTCCCTCTCTCCCTTTGCAGCAGCACCAGCTATTCTACGAGTCCTTTTTCCGGCTGGCAGGCACAGTCCGGTCCCTGCAACATTTATGCCGCTCCACCATTCGGAAAAAGTTTGGCAGCAAATGCCACTGCCTTATCCCCTTGCTGCCTGTGCCCAAGCCTTTGCACGATTACCTGCTGCTGGAACCCGAAGGAGTCGTGCTTTGAAGGGCCGAGAGGAGCCAGCCGAGGTCTGCCATCCGGCCCTCCCTTACCTCGTCGTCCCTCGGTGTAGCGCAGCAGCATCCATTTCTGTCAGCTGAGCAGAGGAGCGCCGGTTTTCATGATAGATGGTTGTTTTTCAGGGATTTATAACGTAACTAAAATGTGCTTTCGGCTGTAACTTTGTATAGATTTTTTTCTAATTGTGTTTTAAATAGATTATAAAGAGTAATAAAATGATTAGTAGCTGTTACAAGCATGCTGCAGATATGAATAATATTCATTATAAAGGATCTCTACAAAGCAGCGGGGCTCCTCAGGTGGGCAAAGGCAAGCACACACGATGACTAAAATCAGCCCACCTGGGCATCAGATCCCTTTGGATAGACCTCCCCCATGAGTGGCAGAAGCAGAATTGGGCCCAGGGGTGCATCCTGGAAGCTACTAGCAGAATGCGATATCCGGTGGCATTAATATAGGCTGTAAAATAGACCAAAAATCTGTTGGTTTTTATGTAAAAACCAGCAAGAAAGAGCTGGTTACTCCATGCAGGACTGGGGGGAGGATGGGACGAAAGGACACAGCGTCCTATTTCTCCTGGCTCCCCATGGTCTGGTTGCACCAGCGCCTCCTGTACCCATCATGCCCATCACTACTCCCAGGCTGGCACACGGAGGGGCTGGAAAGGCTGGTGGCAACCCAAAGTGGAGGAGTTTGGGCTTTCATTTCACACATTGACTTGAGCAAGGATTTGTTTTTGCAGACCCTTAGGCTCCCCAAATTAATTTCTGTTGAACCAAAGCAAGCACGCACACGTTTCCCATGGAAGAACAGCTGTCCTTATGCTAGCAGCTCTACCACAGCACTCGCCAAATTGTTCCACTGCTTAATTACACTCACTATTTAAAAATGTTTATATAAATAAATCAACCATTTTGCATGTTGACTGGACCTTGCACCAGCACCCAACACTATTGCGGGTTATATGGCTGATGTGCACAGGATGCAGGCAACACCCCTGGCTCCCAGAGCCCGTGCCTATGGAGCAGGGAGAGTGGAAATGGGAGGGAAAGGAAATTTCCCCTTCCCAGCTTCCACCTCCTGTTTCCCCAGCTTCCCTTGCCCTTTAAGTTGTATACAGCTGTTCAAGGGCATTGCCGAGCCCCCTGTGTTGGGGGGGGATGCCTGAGCCCTGTCCCAGACGGGAGCGCCCCACGGCAAAGCCCTATGCCAAATCTCCACGACACCTTGAGACCTGGCACTTCGTGACTTTAGTGGCTGTTTTCCTTTACGGTTTGTTTCGGTGGTCAGAGCAGGAGGGAAATTGAAGGGGATTTAGGGAAAACACATCCTGGCTGAGCCGCTGTGTGTTTGAACCAGCCAAATCTAAATTTTGGTGCCTCTAATGAGTCTTTCATCTTTTGTGTGGTCCTGGAGCTGGAAGAATGACATGTTTTACATCTGTATTGGGCGAGTTTGCATGGAGATAAAGTCCCACCAGGTGATCGCATCCTCCCCCCAAATCCATGACCTCGGCTCGCTGTCCTGCCGCTACTGTTGGAGAAAAAAAAAAAATGCACATCAAAGAGGAGGGGGAGCAGGTCTGTGCCGAGGAACCCAGCCCACGGCCTCGCCGCTGGGCTGGAAGGGACAAGAGGGGCGGCAGGGGTCCGGGGAAGGATGGAAGGGCCGTGGGAGGGGGGA